AGCTATGAAAACATTCCGATCCAAATGAGTTATCTTAGTGTCATGTTATACATATATTTTATGGAGCATTAATATGCCAAAAAGGACAGCTTCTTTCTGGATAGTGGTAAACTATCTCTATTTCAGAAGTTCCTGTGCTTCCTGGGGGACAACTTGACTGCTTGTTGAAGCAGCAACCTAAATTCTATGGCTTTAAACTCCTTAAAACAAATTAAAACTCAGTATATTTAAGGTGAGCTAGCAATAAACTCAATTTTCCTTCATATATTAGAGCATAATTTTTAATAGTTCAATAATTGTTACTTGAGCATCTCAGAAGTCCCAGCAAGAAGTGCTTAACAAGCAGCAGAGTGTGGGAGACAAAGCTTGTGGTACTCTTCGTAAGTCCAAGTTTGGGAAATCTTCTGCTATAATTTTTTTTCCTTGACAAGGTATCAAAATTCAGCATCTGAACAAATATCTGAGTAGGCACTGGTAGGTAAACAAGCTTAAACAAAAATACCTTGTGTTGTTTGCATTTAATAGCCAATAATGCTGCAATTTTGATGATGCCCACAAGAGAGTTCAAATCCAGAAATATGAAGTGCTGATTTTAACTTTTTTAAAAATTTTACTTTTTTAAAAATTTTAATTACACTTTTGTTATTTCAGTTGCAACTTTATTGAAATGTGACCAAGTAGACTTTCAAAAGTGCTGAAAGGCTGTGATATCATAGTTGTTAACCTATTACATCAGATTTTTTTGGCAGATTTAATTGCATTGGAAGGTTCCCATATAGATTATTGCTGTGCTTAGTGAAGTGTGCTACAGAGAGTTTTTGTTGGACTCTGCACTGCAGTTGTTAAGGGAAATTGAAAATAGTTGTCAGCTCTCAATCAAAATTGCCCTCATGTTAATGAGCACAACTGTGTATGCAGTGTAGTTGTGTTTGCTATCAGAGAGCCTACCAGCTTAGGTCAAAATCAACGACAAGAAACTGACAACATTAATTGTGGAGATAATTTGTGTCAAACCTTAATTAACAACCTTTATAAAGATAAAGGCAACAAATACTACTTTTCATTTTTGGTTCTGTTGGGCTATGATTTCACGTACCCTTACACTGATGATGGTCACTTTATATGTAATGAGGTGAACATGTTGATTGAATAATGAAAAGATGGATTGCATAGTACCTATCTTTCTCCATGGCTGGCTGGCTACTATCACCATAATCTGAGCATCTCTTGACCATAAAGGCGTTTATCCTCACAACACCCATTAAACATGCAGACATTATTATACTTCTGGTGCAGCTGCTGAGCCTGAAGCAGAGAATTTAACTGGTTTGCCAAATTAAATTTAATTTTGTGAATTTAAAGATTAACTGCTGAAAAGGGCCATTGTATGCAGTAAAACGTCTGAAGTGTACAGGACTACTATGAGTTTACTGTTTCAGATAAAATTATCTGTGTTTTAATAATAATCTACCTTCTCTGATATTGTATGATTCCTCAAAGATAAATGTCTTACTTTCAAGATTAGGCACTGGAGAAGGGTTGTGGCAATGTTTTCTTACAGGAAATACTCACTTATGCACAAGGAATATTTGACCAGCCACATACCTTATTTTGTCAGCTAGATTATGGCCTAAATGAAACACAAACATCATCACAGTTGCCTTCTATACTGGAATGTGAAGCTTTTTTATTGATGTAGATAATATCAGTCCTTACATACAATAATGTGGTCTTTACATACAACCTTAAAAACCTTGCTTTTCTTGAAAAATGTCTACAAATAGGGAATTACATCATTACGTAATAACTGCGCTTGTCTTTTGCCTCTAATGCTTTGTAGCAATTGCTGTTAGTTAACAAACAACAGCTTTACTATTTATCAGTCCAGCAAAAATTCACATAGGACTGGAAAATTACTGTTCTTCGTCAGGGAGCTATGAAAGCCATGTAGGTATTCAGCCCTATTTCTGGAACTCAACCATGTGGATACAGCTCTGCAGAAGCTAGTAAGCAATGTTCATAAGGAGTCATAGCACTTATAGTCCTTCACCAGGTTTGGCCCAATCCTAGATGAAGACATTGTCAGAAAACTGGTTTTACCTCTAACAGCAGTTAAGTTTGGTGGAGAATTTTTTGTTTCATGTATATTGCTATGTGCACTGTTTGATAAACAGCTATGCAGTTTGCACAGTGTTGGAGATGAAGGGTTGGGGTTTTTTTTGTTTCATTCATGTTCAACAGCAATGGGAAAGGTAAATTTTCATGTAGTGTAAATTAGTGAAAGCTCTCTTGTGTTTACCTAAACTGCAGGAAATGGAGAATTTGTCTCTGATAAGGAGGGAAGGGATTCTGCTTTATTAATCTCTTTTTTAATATTGTTACCATTAATTTAATATATTGCATATTAGTATAATAAAAGCATGCCAACCATAGGTATCATGGTGACTGTCAGGGATGTAAAACCTAATAATAGAATATGGTGGGGTTTTTGGTTGATTGATTGGTTGTTTTGGGGTGGTTTTTGAAGAGCTAATTTAACATAATTCAACATGGTCTTTACTTATCATTTTTTGATGCTTTTTTTTTTTAATTTCTTTGTTTAAAATTCTGCAGTTCTTCTGGTCCCAAGATAGTTAAGTGAAGTGTTGCGGGAATGAATGCACAGAATGGCTCTTAAATTGAGATGCTTTCCCTCCTTAACCATTGTAAGGCATGGCAAAATTGGCAAATTTTCCAAAACAGACCTTGTCCCTAAGGAAATGAGATGTTGAAATTATCAGTTTGATAATTGATTTCAAGCTTTTGATGTTTTATTGATGTTGAAATTATCAGTTGGGCAAGTCACTGAATGTATGAGTGAGGGCTAAATTTAGAATTTAAAAGCTGCCTATGAGCTACTATACGTAGTTACTCTGTGCTGATGGACTTGCCCACGCAGTGTTTTGCTTGCAGTTGGTTTGCAGTTCAACACTGAATTCACAAAATGTCAAAAAGAATAAAAAGAGAATAGAAGAGCATCATTTTTCACTTGATGGCACACAATCACAACTTGTGCCACAGAATATCAGCATATCAGATTCAGTCATGTCTCTTTACATATCAGAGTGCTGAGTTAATATGTGCATAGAAAAGGATTCAAAGCTAGCAGTTTTGGTGAAACCCAGATGCTCTTCATCAGAACATGTTTCTGTCTTTTCTGTGGTCCAGGCATAAAGCCTGTGACTTGGGAAAAGATTTTTAGTTTCTTTGCTCTAAACGTGGGGGTTTTTGACAATTTTTTGACATCAGAGAAGTTCTTTCATAAGTTCCCCATGGCAGCAGTGGCACACTATTTTGCTGTGCTCAAATTTGCCATTGCATTTGGTTTCAGGTACACGTTCACCAGACAAAATTAGCACAGCGGATAATTCAAGGACCGGTGACCACTCTGAAAATTTGAGCAATAACAACTTTGCCTTACATCTCTATTGAAGCAAAAAGTATGCAGTTTTTCAGGAACATTATATTCTTAATGCATTTTTTTAAAAAATATCTTTGTTACTGGTATGTTACACATTAGGGGTAGGGTAAAAAGTACTCAGTTCATTTCGTAAACTTAGGACAATCTGCATGCTTTCATATTCACTGTAGCAACATAACAGCAACATCTGAATTTGTTTTATAACAATGACCACATGATATTTTCTTGGCATTTTAAATTAATTCAGTATTTCTTCCAGTGTTACATACATGCATACTTGTAGTCTGCTGGGTTTCTGACATTTAAATAAATATGCTGACAAAAAGCTGCTGTGGAAAGACCAGTTCAGCAGAATAAGGGGTTAGACATCAGAACTGAAGAGAAGGAACTTAGAAATGAACAATAGTGCGGTACAGGTACATAACTGTCAGAACTAAGAGAGGAAAGTGAAGAAGAGTGAAGAGGTTGAGAACAGAAAGGAGCTGACTGCCAAAAGTTGAAGATGAGAGCAAAAATGAATTGCAGCAGCTGCTATAGAGCAACTACTTGTAACAACTTAAAACTGAGAAAGACTACACAGCAAAGACCTGGATTTTTTGTCATTCATTGGTCCTAAGTATTCACTTCATATCTTTCAAATCAGCATCTTAAAGTGTATTTGATCTCTAAACATTTCTCAGCTAAGAAAGAGAATGATGTAAATATTTACAGGAACTTTTCAACATTTCTGTACTGGGGTAGACATAATCTCATAGATTTTTATATTAAATCATTAGAAGTCACATCTTGTGATGGTGTAAGTTCGAAAGTTTTGTTTCACCACAAGGCTGATAAATTAATTTTCATTATGTTGTACAGAAATAGAAGGAAAAAGCATAATTAATTAGAATTCCTTTTCCTACTTCTAAAATTATTTCTGCATTTCTCTCTCCTCTTCTGTTGTTCCAATAGTAGGATCTTTTTCCACTTCTTCTTTCTGGCAGAGTAGGATAATTTGGGAGTGAACAGGAGCTCTATGTGAAACTGTGCCCAAGCATAAATCTCTCTTCTGTTGTAGTCCTTTCTGTGTGGACTCTTAATACATAGTCATTTACCTCCACCACTGCAAACTTACAAATGCTTTCTGCTAAATGTCACTGATTTTAATGGCTCAAAGATGGGAATCCTGTTTTCATGATATCCTGTGATCATAACACTCAGTCATGAATCATGATCTTATTCCAGCTGATTGATGAGCTCGTTTTGCCAGAGAAGACAAATTGGATTTTTTATTTATAATGGTGATAAAATATAATGTGTGATCTTGCTATTCTGATGCTATCGGTTTTCCATTTTATTATAAATTTCACTAGTAAAATCTGTAAGTACTTTCCTGACCTTTTAGTTATTTTCTAATGCTTTCTTTTGCAGGTGAATACTGTCCCCGGAGAAACAAAACATTTCCTTCTTTTTTCTCATTTTGAAATCTTGACTTGGCTTATTTTTTTTTATGTTTACTACTTAGATTAATTTTATTTTGTTTTGTTTTGTTTTGTTTCAGCACCACCAAAGTTTACAAGAACTCCTGTTGACCAGACAGGGGTTTCTGGAGGAGTCGCCTCATTCATCTGTCAAGCTACAGGAGATCCAAGACCTAAAATTGTCTGGAACAAAAAGGGAAAGAAAGTCAGCAATCAGAGATTTGAGGTATTAGGTCCATTGTTCTGTTCCTCTGAAAAACATTAATTCCAACCTTACGTCTAAACCCAATGTGTGTGCTTTGTTATCGGTGATTAAGCAAAATATTGGGGATAATTTAATGGGAGCAGTCGTGTGAAGTTTTTATTTTGCAAAGGGGTTATGCATAGCACTGTTAAAGAGAAAACTGCTACTGCTGTGTCCTAAACTAGCATGATCTAACTGGGGAGCCTTGACGTGCTTCTGTTCAGACTGCTAATTACTTGAGCAGTGATTGCTGTCTCCAGAGAGAGAGCCACCTCCTTTTGTGACAGTGTGCATCCAACAGACCTCGGCTGCTACGGCTTCTGCTGCCACAATTGCTTAGCTCTGTTGCAGAGGGAGATGAAAGGGACATTGTAGTTCCTGCTGCTGAAGAGGAAATGTAAAACTTGTTTGCTTTTGATTGTTTTCCTAACAGTAACCTAGGAAGAGGCTTTAGAAAGAGCTGTTTCCTCACTCCGCAACCTTCAATTAAAGGAAAAAGTAAAGATAATCTGTTCAAAGGGTACTGGTTATTTGGGGAAAATAAGAAGACAAATATTGTTCCCGTTTTTAGTGGCAGGAACAATTAATATCAAATATGGATTGACCTTTAACATGAAGAAAAAACTCAGAAAATGGGGGAACGCATACCAAAACTGACACTAAGAGTGTGTAGTTTTCACTGTGTCTCTTCGCTATTTTCAATGTTAAGTACGGGACTCCTGCATTAAGATAACAACTGTTTGGAAGATGACTAATTTGTAGATAAAACAGTTGTGACATTAATTTTATGAGCGAGTGATCTAAGATATACCTATTAAAAGTTGACTGAATATTGAAGTCATTTGAGTTAATTTTTATTAGTATTTGGGAAGACTGCTTGCCCTGGCTTTCAGGTTAGATTTGTGTCAGCAGAAAAGAATTGTATTTCTTGTATAAGCTGATTTTTTTTATTCCTTTTTTGTTCAAAAAATCTTTAAAGGCATTGGAATTTATTCATTAACCAATATAATTCTTTACTGGTATGTTTACTGCAATGTGAGAAATAAAAGCATGAATTTAAATGCAACCTCCTAGTGCCAAGAACTGTTTGCACTTTGCAGAGCATATGCAGAGCTGTAATTGGCTAGTGGGATTAACATAGAAATTTTATCATAAACTCTACACAATTTATTCCCTTCTGGTCACAAAATTTTCACTTGAGGTGAGTTCCAAACAGTGAAAGATTGGGTATGTACATGTTTACTGTGTTGATTCAGTTTTATTTTGCAATATATTTTGGTTTATTTGCTTCATATATTTTTTTCTATGTACCTATGTACCTGTTTTCAGGGAGAATAAGCAAAAATAAAACAATTTTATTTCCATAAAAAATACTTGAATGGAACTATAAAAAATTAATTTAAAATGTTTTAAAAATGCCTTTACTGGACTGTTGAACAAGCTGTATAGCCAAGTGAGATGGAATGTATTTCAAAGAAATTGAAAATACTTATCAAGTATTTTATAATTTTTATTATAACCACTGAGCAGAGTAGTTAAAAAGTGTGCAGAGCCCATCAATATTTTAAGCAGCTTTCCTTCCTGTCCAAAGTAAGTGCATTAGTTCATACCGTAGGATCTCTAAGTAAGAACATAACAACGGTAGAAATAAGATTCCATAAAGACAGATGGAACATTTGGGAAACAATAAACATCTGAGATTGTCAGCTACACCAATAAGACAATAATTAGTTGGGCTTCTTTTCCTCTTCTTTCACATTAGTATTTTGAATATTTCTCTGAGTTTGATTACTTCATAATAAAAGCCATGAAAATATTTTACCTGGCCACCTGTCTTCATAGAAGCCTAGTAAGTACAGCTGAAAGGGACTTCAATGGGCTATCTAATCCACATGCTTTCCCAGGGATGCTGGGGTTTACATTTTTTTTTGTTTATTTTTTCCTCTCAAATAAACTTGGTCAGCCTCCTACAGAGTTTCACGAACCTTGCCATGATGGTTTTTTTTCTCATGTGGAACCTGAACTTTTTTTACTGGGACTTGATGTACACAGCAGTTGTCTTACCTAGCAATGTGGGAACAAAAAGTTTATTCCCTCTCTCTTCATGGTGGCCTGTTTGATTTTTTGAAGATTATTATCGTTGAATATGGAATGTTCTTGCTCACAGGCTAATTCTCACAACTGAGTGAAAATAATGGTCAGAGCTATACGTTGTTTCACAATAAGACCTTGTGGGACTTTGCTATTAACCTTTCATCTTTTATTATATTGTAAGCATTCAGTAGATGGGGGAGTGGGAGGAATTAACTATCTGTGATATTCAGGAAAGGCAAGAACTCATCACAGGAAAAGTAAATCCATTTACGGTACATATTTGGAGACAAAGGACTTGAAACTTATTCTCTGCAATATTTGCCCAACCCAATCTTCTGCAACTGTTTTTATTGGCCATCCAGCAAGGATTATTCAGCATTCAGATTTAAACAGTAACAATTGCTTTTTTAAAGTATAATGATTGTGATTATTTGGATCCCATGCTTCCATTTTTTATCTACGAATCATTAGTCTGTCTGCTTTAAGATTGTGAAATTTTCCTTTCCCTCATAAATGTCAATTTATCAAGAATTCTAGCTATCCTTTTGGTTGTGCTAAGATCAGATGGAGATTTTGTGTTCTTTAGGTTTGCTTACAACAATGGCTTTACTTAAGGAACAAGGAAAAGTGATAACAGCCTGTTGGCTATCAAACCAATTTCTTCTCAGAAAGAAACAGGTTTTTATCTTATTTCCTCTTAGATGTCTCCTCTCCCACTGCTAAAAAGAAACTGAGCAATTCCAACAATGAAAATGGAAAGATAATGTGCACAGAACCCTAGTTCCCAACTCTGTACTTTATTTCTATCTTACTCTCAACATGTATAGAGATCTAGTAGATTATCTGGGTGTAAATTGGGCATACAAACACAAACATATGTGCAAATAGGCATATATGTAAATTGTTTAGTGCATGTATATATAGATTATGCACAAATATTAATTATTGTGTAAAAAAATTAATTGTGACTGCCCTTTCCTGATGAATGCCATTTACCTAATGGTAGTACTAACATATACTATTGACAAATATTTTTTTTAAAAGTAGATTAAATATATGAATATTATTACTTAATTATTAGGAAGCCTTTTCCAATGCCTGGAGTGCTGCAGTACTCAGAGATACCTGGTGTGATTCTGACTGCAGAACAAGGAAATAAGAGCCATCCAATTAATTCTTTCTCATATGAAAATCACTATTTTTGTGTACATATCGCAGTTTAAAAACGAAACCTTAAAATTTAGCCTTATTATTTAGTCTCTTAACTGGTCACATGTTTTCTAATACATTGTTGGATAAATTTACTTACATTCTGTGGGTTAAATGCATAGCTAAATGGAGTAGTCCTATCTTGTTCAGAAATTGCTAAACCTTTTTCGCTTTGGGGATAAATGAATGAGTAAACTGCACTCTGTGAGTAGAGTGGGAATATAGTCTGCAGCAATTAAAATGAATGTAACTGATATTTGAAGGCATAGTACTTAAGCTAAGAGAATGGCGAGAGATTGGTGGTGAACTTCAGGATAAAATAGCCTTAAGTTACAGAACCCTGTCTTACAGCCTTCATTAGCTTTTGTTGTTGTTGCTGTTTGTTTTTCGCTCTGCCTTTTCTGGAAACTATCTTAGAGCGTCCATGGAATATTCACTGAGCTCATGTATATTACAAGGCATTGCCACTTAAACATTTCCCCATCTGTGTGGAATTTTTCCTGGTATATGTATTTGAAAAACAAATGTGGCTTTGATGACATGAATGTCAACAGGTCACTATTCATGCACAGATTAACTGAGGGATAGGTATTTGTAACAACATCTGTGACAGCTTTTGTTTCCTTCTATAGGTAATAGAGTTTGATGATGGATCTGGATCAGTTCTCAGAATACAACCACTGCGCACGCCACGAGATGAAGCTATTTATGAATGTGTGGCTTCCAACAGTGTTGGCGAAATAAGTGTGTCCACAAGACTCACTGTGTTACGTGGTAAGTCCTTTCTAAACGTAACTAATTTAATTCATAGAGCTGAAAGTGCTATGCTGTTGTAAAAGAGAGGCTTCTCACTGGGAAAGTTAGGTACAGTTCTTTTCAAATGGGCATTTTATAGTCCTGATGCTGGTAAATACGAACTTTTTCACGTAATACTTGAATATTGTATTTCTGATTTTTGACCATAAAATGGTAATGTGAGTATGCAGGGTATGACAGTTTAGAGTGAAGAAAAGATGAAAGAAGTGAGTGAAACAGGAGTGCCATGCACAACAGGTTACTATATCAATTATTGGTAAAAAAATGTTTTACGAATGCATTTGATTTACATTTTAGTGCTGCCCTGGGTAGCTCAGCTTTGTGTGACCAGCACTTACACAGAAATTTTACCTATTAACAGTGACCTAGAAAAGTTGCATAAATGGTTTTTAGATAAGGTTAAGCTGCTACAAGATTTTCGCCCCAAGATATAGCACATAAAAAAGGGGAGGGCTTTTTCCATTTGAAATATGTGTCACCTGAATTCTATTCTTACTTCAGCAAGAAGTTTTTGAAGACAGTAAAGGAAAAAATCCATTTTTTCAACTGTCCTTCAAGGGTGAGGATATGAATGTACTGCCAAGTCTACTGTCTAGATAATACTCAGAGGAGTAAATACTAGTAGTCAAATGACCTGAAAGTTTCATTCTGTCACCTGGAGATGAATGGAAACTGGATTTGGAGACAGTTCATGAAATATTACACTTTTTAGTTTGCAGGGTTGCTTTTATGACTGAAGATTACTGTCTTGTATTGTGATATTACATGGCGTTACTTGATTTGCAGAATTACCTGCTAGTGGCCTGTTTTTAGGAACTGAAGATGATTAGTCAGCTTCACAGAATTTGGAAAAAAATTTGTAAAAATATGTGATTTAATTGTTGTTGTTTTTTTTTTTATCCTTGTATTCCAACAACTGTAGGGTGACAAGGAGGTTTCTTTTCTCTTATTTTTCTCTGAAGTTGGATTTTTATTCAAAAAGGGAAAAATAAAAGATTATTTCTAAACTTTTATTAGCTATTCTGATCAGTACGGACAGTCCTGGCATTACTGTTGGAGTCAACTAACAAAACTGTGTACATATATAACAAGTAATACGTATTTTTCCCTTAGAGGTAGTCTGGTGTAAGCAAGTCTTTTTAATATTTAAAGTTCCTTTCTCTAATGCCATGAATGTCCCGTCTGTTATCTTTTAAAAATTCTTCCCAGACTAGCTAATGAAAATGGGACGATTGATAGTTAGGTTCATGTTTAAACAGCACCATGGACCTGTTCTTAACTCCCTATGATAAGTTTTTCCCTTTATTAACCAATAGAAGCACTTTTTATGCACAGCTTCCTCATTATTGAAAATTAACATAAAATGTCATTTCCATACTGTGTTGAAAGTTTTGTAAATTAAAGGGAGATGGGAAAAGAGAGGAGGGGGCAAAAAAAGCAAAACACTGTATGAAAACTCAGGTGGAAGAAGTATTCTTTGTCTTCAGAGTTTCTTGAAGTGTATTTACAAGATTCTCTGGTCTTGAAATGTGCATGTATGTGTTCTGAAAGATGTTGTTCTATACCAACCAAAGTTCTTATTTTGGGGTTTGTAGAAAAGAAGCAACAGCCCTCATCTGTCTACCGAGGGCCATGGCAGTTGAAAAAGGCAAAGGAGTTGTCTGAGCGTCAAAACTGACTGACTGTAAAATGCAATCTGTTTCTTTGCTTGTCCTATTGATTATTTAATCAATTACTTGGAAGGCATATGTGGCTCTGCTGCCTATTTCATATGCAAATATCTCAGTGCCACTTCAGACAACACTAGCATCAGATCCTGGTTTTAAAAACCATGAATAATGATATGTATATGGAAATGCCTGATGAACAAAAAACGTATGTTATTAGTGAGGAAGTTAAAACTTAAATAAATTTAAATTTTAATTAAAAATTAATTGTCTAATTAAAAATATGAAATATGAAAGATTATGTGTTGTTTCCAGCCATAATACACATGGCTTTTGCAACTGCTGGAAGATACTTTGGCCCCAGGAACAGATTTGCTGATTTAATCTGAAACTGGGAGCATATGAGAACTCATCAACATACTGGGACTGTAGATTTAGATAAAGGGGTAACATCAGAGAGAGCAAGGACCATGCAGAGTAACAGGGCATTGTTAGGGAATTTTGGCAGGGTTAAAATTTTGAAGTGCTATAGGTAAAATGACTTGCTATATTGCTTTGCAAGACAGATGACGATTCAGGGCTAAGTGCATTAGCCTGGAAGATAAGTAATTCTGTTATAAGATGCTTCTTTGCAAACTTACACAAATCTTCATCTTGTACAGTCTGCAATAGTAGCCTTGTGGAAAACACTCCATCTGATAATGCCTTTGCGGGAAAAAGTGCTTCTGTGCCTTATATAGCTGTTTCAGGGATAAATATATATCACAGATGTGAACAGGAATTAACAGACATAACCAAATGCGAAACAGAGTGGAGTGAATTGGATCTGTGGTCTGCTTAGGCTTTACTCATCCCTGGGGCATATGTGTGACTGAATTGCAGAAGATACACATGTAACTTTCATAATGGTGCTTTCACAGACACAACTCGGCATTTGTGCCTCTTGCAAGAGGAAGTCAGAGTTTACCCACAATTCAACCCACAAGAACTGCGACCCTAATAAGGGACATGGCTGAAATCGGGATGTTCCGAGGAGTTGAATTCATTTTTCTTTGTTTGTTTGACTGAATCCAGCTGAACTGCTACAATTCATTGGCACAGCACAGAACAGCAACATTTTTGCCAATATATCCATATTTTTAGAGCCAAACTTATCAGTTTTCCTATCTGTGGCAGTTCAGAGTAACAGTATTTCTATGCGCTACAGGTTTTACCCTGTCTTGTTAGGTTCATACACTATGACCAATCTGTAGTACTTGGGTCTCTAAGAACTGTGAATATACATAAAGTCTTTCTGGGCATTGAAACTTCACCATGTGAGAAGGAAAAAGGGCAGAAAAGGCAGCTACAGATGATAACATTTCAAGGCCTTAGCAGAGACGAAGTATTGGACCTTTTTTCTTTTACCAGAATAAATCAGGAAACATTCCAGGCTAAACTTTTACTTGCTAGGCTGAATATTGTGGCAGTCTGAGCCAAGAGTGAATGTCTGAGATAAATGGAAACTGCTTTTGATTTTCTGTGTATAAAGGAGGTGGCTGCTTTCCAGGACAGATTCACCCACGTGAAAAGACTGAATTTGAACGGAAACAAAGTTTGTAAGGAGAAGTCTGGAAGTCTCCTTCCAGACAAGTGGAATTGATGCTATTTATTTTGGAGCTCTTTGTTTTGAAAATTTGTGCTGAGAACCATATGAGTGGAACAGTGCTTTGATTCTTTAACTCAGAATTATCAGTGTTCAATAGGCAATGAAAGACAATAAAGTGTAGGATCTTCCCATACTCTGCAGACTTCAGAGGTGGAATAGCTTCCTTTTATTGTCCATTCATTTCTTGTTAAAGCCACCTAAGTCTGTTTTTTGGTCTTGCAAATGGTGGATAACTGACATTTTGAATAGCATCATATGCAAGCATATTATTGTTCAGGAAGGAGGAAATGAGGTGCTTCCTTCTTTTAGAGAAGTCAGCAACAATTCCATGCCGCTAATTTTAAGGAATCCTGCTTTTCATTTTCTTAATGAATTTTTGATTATTATTCCTTGATAAAGTTCTGCCAAGACTATAAGTACCTCAAGAAACTGAGCTTCAACTACGTCCTGAGAAGGTGTATGATTGCAGCACAGAAGAGTGCAGGCTTTAAAGGACAAGGTCCAATAGAGCAGAATACCCAAGTGCATTCAACTATCACTGCTGTTTGCTTTGTTTTCTTTGCTGTTTGGGAAGTAAAGAGAGACTACACAGGACACTTAAGCAGAAGGCATTTTGTTTTCTCAGCCCACTATTTTCTCTATTATTGTTGATCGTACTGTGCACTATAAAAATATTGATATATAGCGTCTTTGTACCATGGGCAATGTATAAGAAGAATTTAAGTAAAATTTCTATGGAAAGTGCCTAGGGCAGTTATTCCTTTTTATGCTTTTTAGAAACTTATTGATTTAATGTCAAACAGTCATTGCTGCATAAAATAAAAAGTGAATTATTTACTGAACAGTGTTTCCCTGTCCGTTGATACACACAGAGATTGAGATTGAGATAATTGAGAGAGATTATTTTTATTAGACTCTCAGAAGTGCAGAACATTTTCACACTGTTAAAAAACAAAACAAAACAAAACCCAAAAAGCCCCCAAAACAGAGGTGATGAATCTAAGGTGCTACATTTTTGGTTTCTGCTGCTAGTAATAGATTCAGTGATAATAGAAGCTCATTTCTCTGTTTTCACTGTACCCAGTAGTACTGAAATGAGAAGGAACTATTTCGAAGTAATCTGTCATCTGGGACAGCTATCTTTGAGGGCATGGAAATTAGACAAATGGAGTGGCACGGCTATAATGTTGGAAAATGTGCTGTGGGATGTCTCTCATTTCTAGACGAATGGGAGGAAGGACTGTACATACTCTGGGTATTAGCTGCACGGTAGGAGAAATTTGCCATGTTCCAGCTGGAGCTCTATAAACCATGTATACCAGTGTTTATCTGACTTAACTGTTTGCTGTATAGTTGCAGTGATTATTGCCAGGGGGCTGCTAGTAGGACAGGCTTTTGAAAGTGGAATGAATAGAAACAAGGAAAGCAAGAAAATACCTGAGCGAGAACTTCATACACTGGAAAGACATTTATCTCAGACATGTATTGCACGAGAAGACTTCTGAAGAGGCAAAGGTGTATCTTGCCTCCAGACTTCCTGAACTTTCACTGATCATGCTCTATGTAGGTAGCACCTTGTGACCAGAATTAGCATGTTTATTACAGTCCTATTTTTATTATGCCTCTTTTTGAAGAGGAACACT